CAGATCGAATGCCTTGTCGTCTGTGCCTCACCCCTTTCGCAAGACTTGCAGTGGTTGCCAGGTTTCCGTTTCATAATCCGGACACTCTCGCCTGACAAGTCTCTATTGTTGCTTGATGCAGTGCAGCTCGAAAGCCAACGTCTTCTGGAAGCCAGCCACAAACTCCACACGGTGACGTATGTGAGCATGTCTTCCAAAGCCATGTTCAACATGGCTACCCTGTACCGAGTGCCCTTCGCATCCGTGAACGCCACCACGTCGGGTGAAGTGCCGGAGTTGTCAGGTTTCCGTTTGGTGATCCAAATGCCCTCGCCTGACGAGCCACTGCTCTGCTTGATGCCGCGCTGCTGGAGAGCCAGCATCTTCTTGAAGCCAGCCACAAACTCCTCTCCGGTGAAGTGCGCGAGCATGTCCTCCAAACCTATGTTCAACATGGCCACCCTGCACAGCATGTCCTTCGAGCCCACAAGCCGCATCACGTCCGGTGAAGTGCATGAGGTGCCAGGTTGCCGCTTGGTGATCCAGATGCCCTCGCCTCTTCTTGAAGCCAGACGCAAACTCCTCTGCCGCGTTGTATGCGAGCATGTCCTCCGAACCGATGCTCAACATGTCCACCTTACACAGTGTGTCCTTTGCGCCCATGATCGCCATCATGCCGGGTGAGGGCAACCCCCGAATACCCAGCTTGTGCATGGCACGCATGCCATCATGCACTACTTGCCCGTAGCCGGCAGGCGCACCCATGGCAGGTGCTGGGGCTCTACAATCTTCCGCGCTTTGCGGATTTGGGCCCTTATTATTATTATATTATTTATTATTATTCTTCTTCTTATTATTATTATTATTATAATATATATATATACATGTCTGGCAAATAGGTACTGAATTAAGAACACTGCAAGTCGCCGAGGCGATGAGATCTCGGCCCTCCGCGTTGGCCCTGGCCCTTGTGGCCCTCGCAGCTGGCTCGCATGTTCAGGGTTGATTAGGGGTTTACGGGGATGATATGGTTTAGGGTTTTAGAGGGTTTAGGGGTTTACAGGGTTTAGGTTCAGGGTTGATTAGGGGTTTACAGGGATGAGGGTTTTAAATAGGGGTCAGGGTATAGAAAAAAGGACTGAAAGGATGCATCATGAAACACTTCGAATCAGGAGAGCAGGCATCTTCGGGCGCCGGACGTTTCCGAGCTGTGTGGTCAAAAACATGTTTAACTATTGTAGGGTTGTGGCGGGTTGGGGGCCGTGGCATCCAGGGCTTAAGTACCACTGCTGCACAGATCCTTTTTTCCATGCCGGAGTCTTTCAGGCGCTGGTGCTGGCTACCCGCCTTACGGCCAAGGCTCAGGGATCATTAATAAACGGGCGTTGCGTCACCAGCAGTTGTTCACACGTCTAAACGCATGTACACACCCAGAGAGAGAGAGAGAGAGAGCTTAAACAGTCATCGTAGATTATATGGCCGTAGCCTCAAGGTGACTTGTACTCGTCTTTCACTCCCTTGCGCCCAACAAATCATGTTGGGTGGGCACTTTGCCCGGGGGATTTGACCGTCCCCCATGCCCAGGACAGAGAGAGAGAGAGAGAGAATGAACGCCTGCTCACCAACCGAGATAAGAACGACTGCGCGGCAAAGCGCAGAGGGTGCGAGAGCTGCTCGTGCCTTCATGACCGTGCTGAAGAATGGCTGAATGATTGTATTTATGTATACAAAGGTAACATACATATGTACATATATATTATATTTAGATAGTGCATGATATTTCGAAGGAAATAGGGAAATAGGTACAAAATAGGAACATGTCAGTTCAAGTCAGACTGTACATGGCTGAGTGCACGGTTGGAAGCCTCGTGTGCGGAGGCTCTGGGCTTCGTCGCAGCCCCTGCGCCAAGCACGTCCCTCCGGTCGCGGACGCCCCTCCGCCCAAGTCGATTTGCACCTGTTGGCCCGAAGATTCGGGTTTTGGGCTTGTGACGTTGCAAGCCAGTTGCAAAAGGATTTAGGGTTTGGGGTTTAGGGCTTGGTGAATGGTTGTATAGTTGATGCTCTTCCTTCGTACGAGCACCTCGCAGAGCTACCTCCAGCACCACCTCCCAACGAGCCACAGCATAAGCGCAGGAGTCTTGATCTTGCGTGCAGTTTGAAGCTGAACATCGGAGAAGGAGCACTGTTCCAGGCTTGTTGGTGGGAAGTTTCAGCTCGTTAAGCAGGAACACCAGCCAGGAGCTAGCAAGAGCGCCAGCGCATTGGGATAAGGACACTCGTTAGCATCAGCCGCAGCAACTGGCACCACAGCAGCACCCGCATACACCCCCGCGCTAGTGCCAGCGCCACTGCCAGCAAGCACCAGCACCAGCACCACACGTCCGTACTCTTGACGATCTTAGCTGGTGGCCTTATATTCTTCATGATTGGTTGTCCCTTCGCAAATCCAAGAGTGCTTTAAAGAGACCCAAGTCCGGAGTTCAAAATCAGGTCGCACTTGATCGCACGACACGCATCCATGCGAGACAGCGAGGGCAACAAGCTCCTCGGGCTTATCTCTCCGGTTGCGAGTGGATGAAAATCTTCAGAGCATCGTGCTCGCAGGGTCTCTAATTTCCTTTCTTGTTGTTGCTGTAGCTTGCAGTACTTGTAATGTGCAGACTCCAGACCTTTCATAGGAGAGCCTTGCCTCATAAGCAACTGCATGCTATGTTGCTTGCTTCAGATGTTCATATATACTACCAGTGCAGCACAGGCTAATCGCAGTTCCTTCTACCTGTCGCACTGTAACACCCTTTGACGGAAAGTCTTAGAGTCGCCAAGTCGCAAAGCATGAAGCCCTGCCGTCGTGGGAGCTCCCAGCCTCCAACCAGTCCGCTGGACACGCACTCACAACCCCACCGTCGCAGTCGGCCGCAGGATTGATCTGCATTCTTGCGATGTAGGTTCTGTAACAACGAAAGATACTGCTCGCAAAGCCAGTGGACCGTAACTAAGCCGTCAACGGTCAGGGTCCGCGAGCCCAAGACCTTCGATGCCTCCGATGCGCGGCTTGGACACTATCAATTAATATATGTTTCGATTCTGCCGGGTACTTGCGGGATCCGGATGCTCGAGGCTTGGGGTGTCGACTGTGGCATGTTACAGCATCTGTTATTTAGTGAGGGCGGCACGAACTCGTGTGCTCTTCTCTGCGGTGATGAATCCCACCCCGAAGGCGAACCTCCAAGCCGAGTCTGAGAGATGTTAGGCAATGTCATGATAAGGTGGGTTTAGGGCCTGGGACTTTGCCCGGAAACCTGATACCGTTCCGAAATCACAACCCGAGCATGCAAACTCCAGAAGCCAAAAGGAGGCAACCAGAGGTGGTAGGAAAATCGGAAAGTAACCGTAAAGACTGAGAGAAATGGATGCGCAGGGTCAAGCAGTTATTTTGACTGCTGGAACCTATGCATGCTTCGTTTTGCAGTCTTGGTTTTAAGTTTTAGGCCGGAGGTGTAGCGTGGAGTTCGACAGTCTTACACGCCAACCTACCGTCGACAAAAAGAACATACTACCCAACCCCTGCCCAAACGGGGACGTAACTTGTATCCTGTTCTCCTGAAACCATGACGCCCCAGGTCCAGCATCTCAGGCGCCGTGATGGTAGAGTACAAGAAGCGACCCTTCGGTGTGGCTTGCCTTCGCAACAAAGAGTTGTGCACTTCACTTGTATTGTGCATGACCCGTTATAACACTGTTATAACGCTAGGCAATATGTTGTGATTTGTCTTGGCGTGGTCTTCTCTCGCTGTTGAACCTCGTGTGTGCATCCATCCCCCATCCATCCAACCATCCGTGTGTATATATATATATATGTATATGTACGCATCCACCCATACATACATACACAGGGAGACAGACAGACATACATACACGCGCATGTATTTCTCTCTCTCTCTCTCTCTCTATATATATATATTCTCACACGCTGGTTTTCTCAAGCAGCGCCCCTCTTAGCCACAGACACAGACGCACAAACACACATACACACACACACACATATAATAAATATCTATTGATCGATCGGTCTATCTACCTGTAAATATGTACAGTATTTGATGTGGTGCGTGTTTGTGTATGTACGCTCACGTACTTAGGCATGCATCGACACATGTGCGTGGGTATGTACAAATGTTTGTATGTATGTACTTGTATATATGTATGTATGTCTGTATGTATGTATGTCTGTCTGTCTGTATGTCTGTATGTCTGTATGTCTGTATGTATGTATGTATGTATGTCTGTATGTATGTATGTATGTATGTATGTATGTATGTCTGTATGTATGTATGCGTATGCGTACGTGCATGTGTATCTGTATCTATATGTGTATGTGTATGTGTATGTGTATTTGTATGTGTATGTGTATGTGTGTATGTATGTATGTATGTATGTATGTATGTATGTATGTATGTATGTATGTAAGCATGCATGTATGTATGTATGTATGTATGTATGTATGTACGTATGTATGTATGTAGGTTTGTATGTATGTATGTATCTGTGTATGTATGTATGT